GATTCATGAGCATAAAATAGCTTTATAATAGTGAATCTTAAGCTACATATGAACCAATAAGTTCTGCTGAATCATGTGAGAAGGTGGTCAAGATGTCTTTATATATATATAAAAAGTCTGTCTCAAGAACTGAAGTGTACACGCTCATTGTAGGTTAGGAAAGGCGTAGATACCAGCTATACATGACTTATTAATTGCAAGTCAAAATGTCTATCCATCACACTTGGTTTGGGTGGAAAAAGATGTCAAATGAGCAATTATTTACAAATGATATCAAACATATATGGAACTTTTATTCAATACTTAAAATCAAACTGAAGTGTTATAAAACCACAGATTGTTGCAGACAAGTGATTTCCCAAGTGCAGAGAAAATGCAGCGGCTTGGAATAAAATTAGTAAAATACTAACTATACCTTAAATGTAAAATAATTGATGTAAAGTTGTAAACTAAGGAGAGAATTCTAAGCGTAAAAATACCACCAAGGATTTCTGAGTTTCCATCATTTGGTTCCTCCAGGATACCACTTGTCTGCTTGGATTGGTCCAAGATCATTCTTAATTCACTTTCTATCTGTCTTTTTCCATTCAAAGATGTCTCCATCTTCAGGGATACATTCAAGTCTTCAATTGCATCTTTATAATTTCCCAAAGAAGCATTGGCCTTAGCCCTCCTAAACCAGGCCTACAGTAAGATTATTTAAAGAATTCAACCACAACTGCATGACATAGCAGAAATCCAAAAATAAAATGGGAAATTGTGCTTCCATTCCATATAAATTTAATTTATATAGATCTACAATGACTCGTTGGCACTTCTCCAAGGTGAAGAAATTAGTCAACGGACAATAGCTCCAACAGAGAATTCCAGTCGACAGGCTTACAATCTAGTTGTAAAAATGACAAGCATTTTTAATTACTTTAGAATGATGGTGACATGGGAAATAGCATATAGCTTTTTGGAGGCAAAAGGAAAGACTTTCTTCTAAAACTATCTAAACGTATTTCCCCAAAACACGAAAGAAAAATCGACACCAGAATCCAGAAAGTTTCCAGACATAGCCAATCAATCTAACGGTGTCAGCATAGATATTGATGAATTACTTTACCTTTGCAGAGCTAGGGGATATTGTAAGAGCCCGGGTGGAATCTCGTAGACACTCCAAAAACAGTCCCATTTTCTGAAGATAACATAAAAAATTTAGTGAACAAAGCAAAGATAGATAAAATATGTTAACGCAAGCGATATATTTATCAATTTTCTTCGTCATAAGTATACATTTCTTTTTCTTTCTTTCTTCTTTCCATGTCCTCCATGTGATTAGAGATACTAATGCACAACGGAAGCATTTCAACCAGTCTACAATTCCTTTGCTGCAGAGTATTCTTAGCGCATTTAATTAAGGAAGAATAGTTTGGAAAACTAGACAAGATTGATTAACCAACCTTGAGACCAAGCTTTGTTTAAACACAAAATAGGATATGAAGCATATTTTCCAACCCTATATGTCTTATGATACAAGAATAGGTAATTTGCTTTAATTGACATGTCCTCAGAATGAATATGACTCACGTGCAAAGCTGATGCACGATTCACATATAGCATTCCAACCAAATTTTTCTCCATATCTTCAGCGTCTGTTGGAGCAACGCGCAGAGCCTATTTCATCCATTCAAGAAACAAGAAGATCATGCTTAGAATTTATCATTTGAAGCACAATAATTTGTTAAAGAAACGATAGAAAGAAACACCATCATCTGAAATCTTTGCTGAATACTTGATTACAGAAAGGGGTAGAGTCTCGACCAAAACCCTTGGCCCCAGTTTTAATAAATGCGCACAATTGAAATTGTAGGAAATAAGATACACTGGCCAGAAATAAATACAGAACTCCCATCCAACTAATTCTTTTCATTATTTTATTTTTCCTTTGTTCATTGTTCCTGTGTGGGATACATTCTTAAGGGCTAGTTTATTTTCATTCAAAGTACATAAAAACTAACATGAATCAATCATCAGTAAACAAATAAACTTGTGACTAACCTTTTTCATCCCGCTTTTCTTTATCTTATATTAACCAACTTGTAAGTTGTATCATACTTCCAAAGTAATAGCAGTCTTACTATTTTCATCAAATGAATAATAGTTCGTCAAAATCAAGTTATGTAAACTGAATAAACCTCCCACACCACAGAATACTTGGGCCAAAACTTTTGCTTTTCCCTTTATTTTCTCCTGTCTCGAATAAGTAGTATAAAAAGTAAGCGTTTTTTGGACCTGTGAGTAGAAATGCAAGGCATTTTGATAATCCCATTTGGAAAAGCACTCATTGCCCTTTGCTTTGTCTTTCAAAGCAGCCTCCTTGTTCTTCGCGCATAGTCCCATTTCAGGGCCCGTCAAGTCTCTAACCATCTAACAATAGCAAAAGTAAAATTATTAAATAAAAAACAAACAAGGCATATGATTTCAGCTTCAGATGCAGCGTATAAAGATATACACAAACACGTGCGTTAATCGAGAAGTTGTACTTGGTGAAATAGGGGCAAGTGGTTGAAGAATTCAAGGAGTGAAGTGCATGTTAAAGGCAGGTCATCGGGATTGCTTTCAGAAATTATCTGTTTTAGTGGGTCTGGAATTACTGATTTCAGTTTCTCCATGTCCACAAAATAAATTCTTCTTCTAGATGTGAAAATACGCAATCTTAAAATGGCAGCTGAAAAAGTGATGTATAAATGTCTTCTCCGGCGAGAATTTCACCGGAGTTGCTACCCTCAACAGCCTACAACTATAATCGGTTAGGTAGAAGTTTGAAGCTCGAATTTTGGCTAGTTGTGCAGAAGTAAAGTTTATGGGCTTCACGAGTTGATCCATGTATAAAAGCCCGCGGTCCAACAGTCTTCAGCTATCACATGTAGGGCATATGGGCTTAGTTGAGCCCAAATGGTCTGGATCAACTTGGCCCATTGGCATTGCCACCCCTCCGAAAGGTTTTAAGACTCAATTATCTAAACAAAATAAATTAAGTACTTGTTTGAGAAATTAAAGAAATCAAAAACCTCGACTGTAATTTTTTTATGGGAAATTATAAAAAATTAGTTGTTTAAAGATTATTTTCTAAAAATCAGGTTTAGACTTTATTTAATCAAAAATCAAGTTTTTATCATTTTAAACTACCCCCACCAAATCAGAACCCTAAATCAACTCTCGTCTCTCACCATTTCTCTCCCCTCTCTCACCGCCCGCCTTCTCCACCACCATAGGCCGTCTCTCCCCCTCCTCCTCCCTCCTTCCCTACGGCAGCAACGCAGCAGCGTTGCGATGCTGCTGAATTCACAGCAACTCCGCCAAGTTTTTTGTTTTGCTCGGCGTTTCTTCTGGTAGGCGGCAGCGGAGTTGCGGCAGGGCGATTTGTGGGTGGTTGTGGTTGTATTGGGATGGGGAAGAAGTGGAGTTACAATTGGTGGCGATTTTGGGTTTGGGTGTGACCAATGGTCGGCGATTTGGGCGAAGGTGGGATTTGTGGTGGGTTGCGGCTGCTTCAATTGGGATTTAGGGTTGGTGGCTGTTGCAATTGTTGGGTTGAGTGCTGGTTGGTGGTGGAGGAGGGTTGGAGATGTTGAGGCGGCGGTTAACTGTGCTTGTCCTTTTTTTTGTAGAAGACAGGCTACTATTTGAACTGGATGTGGCGTCGCGACGCTGCTGGTGGATCTGTATGTGTGGTTTTCTTAGTGGTGGTGATTTTGGTGTTATTGTTGGTTGTGATTTTGCGGTGGTTTTCTCGGCGGGGGATCTAATGGGATATGATATGTTTTGAGTGGTGGATCGACGATTGGGGTGGTGGTCGTTCTTTGTTTGGTGGTTGTGGGTGGTGGCAGCGTTTTGTGTGGTGATGGTGGCTGAAATAGTGCTAGTGGTATGTGACCAAGTATTTGGTTATCTGTGACCAA